GTGCTTTGATCGAATTTTTCCAGTGGGCAAACAGATTATTTGAAGAAATAGTAAGCAAAATCGTATCACAAATTTTAGACTTTAGCGCAAAATATTTTCCAATTCAGATGTGTCAATCCCTGCAATTAATTTTTCACTTGCCGTTCTCGCATTACCATTTCATTTCGTTTCATTTCATATCGCGTTTTATTTATTGTTACAATACCTTTTGAAAGTAAAGTGCAGTTGAAAAATGTTAGATAACAGAATCTTCGCTTTAATCCATAATTTACACTTCGTTAAGATTCGTATTTATCTTTACATCCTACTCACTTTAATTATAGAAGTCAAGTCAGTCAAAGTTATAGCTTCCGCATATGTGGAAAGTGTTTTAAAATGCATCTCATTGCATTTTCTACCTAAAAGATTTTTAGAAGCGCAGCGGTGTTATTTGTGGTAAGAGATATGTCAACAAATATTTGGCTTTCTGAATTTAATAACTAAAGAAATTGAACAAAATCATTTTCAGCAAAATATTAATTCAACTATTTTCAAGTGATCCCTTCCTCTGTTATGCATTGATTAAGGCCTTAAATTGAGCCCTTAATAAACAGCGACAAATGATGTAAATAATCAAATTTTTGTCATTTGCTTATTACAAACTCTTCATTTTCGTTTTTACCATTTGATCTTTCTTTCTTCTCTCCGAAAAAGTTTCATTTCACTAAAAATTTATCAGAACATAATGTGTAAATGATTTCTGCATGAGAGAAGTTGGGAGAAACCGCTAATGAAATGAGAGCGGGGAACAAAATTGGAAAATAGACATTATCACGAGTTAATCAGAGCTCAGTTGAATGTACTGAACGTATAAAAGCAGGTGAACTGTGATTTAGAATTAATTGGGATGAGAATTGTAACGTCTGATCCAGTTCCATCCGTCTACATTTGTAGCGTCGATTTTGAAACCAAATTTTGACTTGTGTGGGAGTTAGTCCCAACGTCGCTGCCAATCGCTCTCGTTCTGCTGCATTCACATATCGCTGCAATTTGAAATGCTCTTCCAGCTCACTCACCTGGAATTCAATTATCCATCTCTTACTATTTGCCGATAGAGGAATGGCCTTTGATCTGTTCTGTTCCTTCTGATCTAACAATTGCTAAGTTAGTCAAAAATTACTTTCTTTACTTTAACACGCGTTGTGTATATGTATATATAGGTATGTAACCTTTACAGCTCAGTAATCAGGCCTAACAATTTTTAATTCATTATAGAAAGTGCAAGTAAATTGAATTTCATGTTCAGTTTCTCCGGGTATTTTTTAATTAGTAAAATGTAATGAAAAAGGAAGTCTAGCTAAAAGAAAGATCTTTACAAGGCTTCTTGATTCTAAAAGAATTTGAAATTCATTCCCAATTACTTCCACCAAATCTGAGATGTGTTATCCGATTTGGTCGCAATGTGCGAAATATAAGATTGAGCATAGAACAGACAAATAATATACACAAAATGCAACAATTTATCATAACTACCTGAGATTGCGTAAATAAAACGCGGGGCTTTCGTCGCGCCTGCTGCGATCGGAGCTGTACAGAAAATTTGGAGTCGCCATTGCTGCTGGAAGGGTTAGCTTTCAAGTCGAGTCGTGAGTCAGTGTGCATATCTAGGCTTGTTCGGTGCAAATTGATTAAATTTTTACTCAATTAAAATTCAGTAAATTGAAATACACTGACCAAATTAATTGCCGTTCAAACAACAAGTTGAACATTATTATAACTGCTCTATTTTAAGTTCAAATCAAAAAAATCATATCTTAATATTCATTGAGTTGCATTAAATTTCTTACTTGGAACTCTAACATAACAGTGAATCATTCCCAAATCGTTTCCTTTCCGGAATTTCATATTGATGATTAAATAAATCAATGAATCAATAATTCATGAAGTTACAGATTAATGATGAGCACTTACTTAAATGTGCATAAAATGCAAATTGCGGTGCAGCAGTAATAGATGGTGACTGTTGAGAGAAACCCAAATACCGCATATAATCATCCATTGATGTTAACTGTTCCGACGAAAAATTCCGTATTGGGAACACGGAAGATGATATGTCTGGAATTGTTGGTAACGATGATAATGTTGTACTGTTCGCCATCGATAAACTCCCCGGGAATTCGAATGCTGCTATTCGGGCATTAGATACTGATATAGAATTATTCCTTAGATTTACTGCATGTAACTCAGATTTCCTGGACATGAAAGATTTTGGATGACCAACAATCCGGTTGTTGAGCAGGATTTATTTATCAATTGTTATTCACGTTGATGCTAATGATATAGTCGTTAATGGAGGGTTCGATGATTGAAATCATTAAATCCAACTGATGCAAGTGATGAGAGGGCGCGCCTCGTATCTTTAAAATATTCTCACGCGGCTAATTTTTACCTTGAAGTGATTTTGCAGTCCTCTTGTCCATGAATGATATGAAGGAATAGTATGTCAAAAAGATAGAGGAAAACGGATTCTAATGGCTTCCGAGGTAATACGAATAGACGTTACGGTACTGAAGTGTATTTACATAGTTAGCCAATCAGCAGTGCTTACTTCAAGGAGTTCCAAGCAAGGAAATTGGAAAATGAGAAGCGAAGAGGGCGATAAAAGGGAAATGGATTGCATTACACACTTAAATGTGCTTTTCGTTGAGTGATTGGGCCTAGTTTTGAACCTTTGTATCAACTTTCATTATCCTTCAAGAAATCTATCAAAGTATAATCTCTCTGTTGATTCTATCTTTCTTCTTATCACAAGCACTTCTAAACTTAATGATATGAACAAAGAGGATAGATGGATTATCCATTATACGATGTGGAACTATTGTCTAAGACAATATCTATTTCACTGTAATAATCGTTGCTTTTCAAATTTCGTATCTTTTTTTTTTTAAAACGCACTTGTTTTTCATTTGAAAAATTAATCCCAAACAAAGTTTCATAAATAATTCTCTCATTTCAATTCATTCTCTAAATTCAACGATCATCACTTATGTTAATGTACCGAATTTACATATTTTATACATTTCCCTTTGCTACAAAAAACTATTTTGTAATTACACTTCAGTATAATGAAAAAATAATTTGTTACACATAGAGTGAGTGGCTTTTGCATCGATGATAAACAATGAATATCTTTAAATGGCACTTCATCATGAATTGTTTTAGCATTAATTATATTGCAGTAATAGAAAATAATGAAAATATAGCATGAATCTTTTTAGCCAACTACGCAATGGAACGTAGTTTGCAAATTTAAATAGCCTGAAAAGCCTTTAGAAAGTTGCAAGTTCAGTCATTGTAAATGGACAGTTCTCTGACGGCAATGTGGACTCAACTGAATAACAATGTGAAAAACAAAAAAGTTGTATGAGACGTTACTTTCACATAGTGTAGAATTTCGAACGATTAACGGACGACTAATCAGAAAAATATGACATCAATATCCGGATGTCATCAGTTTCGGTTTGAAAAGACACTGATTTATATTGATCAGCCAATGTTGACTATGAAAATTTAAAGCTATCATTTCTATAACTTGACTATTCGTAAGAAGAATGATAAGTTTACCCAACAGTACCTAACATTTGTTCGTACTTTATGATATTAAAGATGATCAAAATTTTATCACTCCATAAAGCAATGATATCAATTTTTATGAGTATTTATATATTAGATTCTACAAACGATGTCCATTACATTTCTTATCATATGTGACACATGTCTTGTGTATCTGTTTGCCTAATCTCTTCCTAATCCGTGGTAGCATTTTGCATTCATCGCGATTTTTTAACTATAAATCTTTCATAAACAGTTGCGCTCTCCATTAAGAATATTCTTAAAATCACCACTATAACTATTAACAACAACAACAACAACAAATCTTTCGTTGGAAAATGAAAATTGCAATTTTGAGATTGAAATAAATAAAAAAATTTGCTAACAAACTGAAAAATTAAACGACCAACCATATTTTTATTTCTCTAAAATAAATAATATACATGAAATGCAATGATAAATCTATTCCGGTTTATCATGCTTGAAAATCCAGACATCCCGAATTCGTGATTTAAAAAATTCTGGCTAATTTTACAATTCATTTTTAAAAAATTTTAGCTAAACCATATATCTATCTGCATGGCTTTATGATTGGTACTAAAATCATTTCAACCGCTTGATTGTTCGACTGTTTTACTACTAAAACTCTTTCGTTCATTTTAAAGGAACTCTTTACTTTTACTGTAAAGAAATATGCTTTCTATTATAGAAAAAGCTGTCAAAAATAAAAATCGTTTATTATTCTCAATAAGGAAAGAGATATTCAATTTTATCACATTTCCGAAATATTTTTTGTTAAAAAAAATGAAAAACATTCAATTCAATGTTACTAGAAGCAAAGTTTCATATTGCAGCAATTTTCACTTATTCCACATAGTAATATTCCTCTTAGACCACAATGACAACGGATAAGTTTTAGTAAAATCCGCTGCATCATGATACAAGATAAGGAACATAAAATAATAAAAAAAAACTAAAGTAGGTCAGTACAAACAATTAAACCATTAGTCAGTTCGACGATATTCTAAAGCCATTTTAAAACTTCCTAATAGAATATCCTGCTTTAACATAATGCAATATAACGACCAACATACGATTTGAGAGTTACCGCTTTTTATACAAACAAGGCTTCAATTTCAATCCAATAGGTCGTTTCTGCATCACTTTGCCAGTTTTGATAAATTCCAAAACAACAAAATAACCACCATCTATCATCATCTAGAAATTCTTTAATAAATGATAAACATAGCAATTTGAATTGTGCTATTAATTTTTATTCAGGGCCAAAATAAACGAACCTTTCCAGTCATATTAAATCCCATTTTTGTTATGGCGTGCACGAATTGTTTTACACTTACGAATCGACTGGCAACTTCGGATATTTTCAAAAAACCACTGCAAATAGACATAAGTTAGATCTCTTCACAATTATATTGATTAACTAATAATCACAATACTTTCATGTCATTTTTAATAATATATGAAGTGATAACAAACTCTTTTTTCAATATCCGATTCGCTTCCCTCAAATACTCGTTCAGATTGGTTCCCATCAATGAAAGACAAAAAACAACAATGTCCACTGATTCATTGTTTAACGGCACCTGCATAACTATTTATCAATAAAAACAACCTTTGCGATAATGTTATACTTTCCTTCTTATGAATCCTCTTATGCTCATTGAAATGATCTTGAATGAAAGCAAAATATATCAATTTTTGAAGACCACATTTGTTAAGAATAGTTGTCCTTATTGCTTTCTTTTCTAACAACTCCATACAAAATGAATAAAATTTAAATCTGTTATGCTGCGTAAGAGATTAATAGTGAATTTATAAATGTTTAACAATAGAGGAATAATAGAAAATAAAAAGAAATCTGTCTCCAGATAATGTTAAAACTGATGCATTAAGTATACCGTTGACATGTCACAAGCCGTAATACGATCATTCACTGCAACCAAATCGAAAGAGTGTACGGTGGCTATATGTGACAGTTTCTCAGCAATCGTTGCATTTCCACAGCCTAAATCAGCAATTACTAAACCATCATGTTTCAGTGATTTTATCCATTGAATAATGATGTGAACAGGATTACATGGCCATTTCTTCGCCTATAAACAATCATTTTATTAACCTAGAACATTATTTTCATTTTTAATCAATTATCCTCATTTTCTAAGCATCTATGATAATCTGAAGTTTATTCCTTGTAAATACTATCGATTTACTATATTACTGCAGTGATATCTTCATAACACATCAACCCTTGATTTAAAATATCGATTATGCTAATTTGAACATTAAATTTAAATGGATTTAAACAGCCAGCAAACATTTAATAGAAAAGGATAAATCATTAACATAAAATTTCTCCGTACTATATTTTGAACAATCTTACATAGGCATTTATGCACTGATTTGTACAATTCCCATTAGCAAACCTGTTTCTGATATCCTTTGTGGTACAATTCGAAAGCTTGCGGATCCTTCTGGAATAGTTCCATAGCTTCCGCACCACTCATAGTATATAATTGCTCGTTGATATATCGAAATAATGAAGAATCCATTTCTTCTAGACCACTCATTTCCTCTCTATTCACTGCTCTATTTTCACTTGAACCATTAAGGTATTTAGTCTTCTTAATCTTTCTTTTCTTCTTTCTTTTCTTTATTTGCACATCACTTAAGGGGATAGTATGCTCATTACCTAAAATAATAAATCATAAAATATAGAAGGAAAAGTAATTCGCATGATATATTTATTGATCTCATGATGATACTCACCTCAACAAATTATACATACATTAACCAACTACCTTTTTCTTCTCTCAATTTCCTTTTCGCTTCGTTAGTAGCTTTCTTGCGAACCTTATTTCGCCATGGACGACGTTGCTTTCTCGGCTAAAACAACCAACTGTTGAAAATAAAAGGCAAGGTTACTTCAATTTCAATGCAGCCTTTCAGCACATGCATCTTTCAACTAACTTAAGCTAAATGCAACTACAATTCAACCCATTGCCCAAATGGTTAATTAATTTCTAGTTTCCTCAACACAATTTCCATCCTAATGTTCATAACATTGTAATAGTAATAAGGAAGAACAAAACTAACAAACTTTGTTACCGAAGTTCCCACTTTTTCACTGTAATCAACTTCACCTTGCTTTGACGGGATCGCATTGTCCTCACCCTCTAATTTCTCCTTCTCTCCCATTAAAACCTTTAAAAAAAAAAAGAAAAGACAGGATGAGTATTGCTCTTTGCAAACAAATACAATTCAATGTATTTAAAATCATTTTGACAGAACAAGGTTGAAATCATAGCAAATAACTTCAATACTCTTTCGATGCTTCTAAGGTTCTCGTTCTTCGTCCACATGACAACGACATTTTTCAATCGGATGGACTACAACAGTGGACAAATTTACAACTAAATCATCATCAGAAGATTCATTAACAATCAAAAGTGAAATAGCCAGTACAAACAAAATTAATAAATGACTACCTCACAATAATCTTTACTAAAATCATGTGTTATCATAATCAAAATTAAATACTCCAATGTGTTATTCATATAAAATATGAATGTGAAAAAAATAAGAAATTTTACTTTCAAACTATTGTAACATAATAGCATAACAAACAGTGTAACAAATAACAAAATTCAATCGAATAAGGAGCGATTTTTGATATTCGCTGTATATCATAATTACAATAACGAATTCATAGAAATTACGAGTATATTTGCACTCAATTTAACGCCTGTCTGTTTTTCCAAGTCCACGCTTGCCACAAAACAAGTGTTTCGGACGTTTGGCAAAGATATGCCTGTCAGCTTCACCTTTCCTTGCTTCATGTTGCAGATTTCTCTGCTTTTTTCGTCCAACTTTCTTCGTTATTTCTCGTACCTAAATTAAAATTTAATTTAAGCAAAATTCTTCACCAAATAACCTACTAACGCCACAAATATACATTACCGAAAAGACCTTGAGTTCTTGAAGAAACAACGTTACATACGAATATATTATTATTACTATTATTATTATTATTATTATTATTATTATTATTATTATTATTAATTATTATTATTATATATATATATCCTAATCTATGAAAAAAAAAATGCTAACTTCGTCATTCTTTATACCCTGGACATCACGACTAGGCGGTCGACTAGCAACCAGGCTCGGGCTTTTCCCCACCCGTATCTTTTTGACAGTAGGCTCCTTCAGTTGTTCCTTAGCCAAGTTCTTCAACTGTGATGAATCAATATCAACACCAAGATCCCGAAATTGTTCTTCCAAACATGCCGTAGTTCTATTCCGTTTTCTCACCACAGAACGACTTAAACGTGGTTTCGTGATGCGCTTTTTAGCTTGAGAAGCCTACAAATTTGAGATTTAAATAACACTTAATGAGTTCACAACAGTTGTATTTAAAGCGTAAAAAGCGATTATAAAATAGTTGAATTGATATAAAAGATAAAATAAGCTTTTCTATCAGTTCATCTTACCATTTTTAGCTGAATCTCTTTTTCCATGATTTTCTCGGCATTTTTAAGCAATCTTCTCGTCTTGTCATCATCCAATACCAAATCTTCATCATAGTATCTAAAATATAATGTCTTATAGCTATAGCAAAAATTCCCTAACGTAACAAAAGTTTTGAAAGATTAAAAACAAATATAAATTCCTCAATAAATTGAAAAAAATCTTATACCCAGCTTGAATCTTTGCTTCTTCCTCTTTTTTGATTAGCTCCAACATATCTTTGATATTTGATGCAACAAAATCGGCGATATTATGTCCTTCCCATATTTCTGGCACAACATCGTATTTTTCATCGTCGTTTTTCAGTAAATAATGTTCTGCAAGCAGCAAAAACATCGTAAGATAAGCTGTGATGTTATTATATGCAAAGCAATTATATATATATATATAGCTATTCTGAGCTAACTCCTTCATAACCTTGTAACCTACATAAAATAATCTATATGAAAATCACGATAAATATAAAAATCGGTAAGAAAACAAGATATATATTAATTGAATAAAAATTTACTCTTCAAATCAAGTATATATTCGTCTTGCATTTCCAGCTCAATCTGACGCTCTAATTTTCGTATTCCCGCAACTCTCTCGCCATTGGCATTATTACTGCCCAAAAATTTTTTTTTTACAACTGCTTCTGGTATATGCGGTGCACGTACCTGAAATTCAATAATAGCAGATAACAGAAAACTAAAAAAAAAAAGAACTCAAGTTCTACAAAAATAAACATACTTTATCATCCCTTGGAATAGGATAAGCAACAAACACACGGCTTAGCACACCATCTTCAATTGCTAACTTCCTCGACTGCAGTTTGCTTTCAACACGTTGTGTCAGAAGATAATTGCACGCCTAAATAGTAAACATCTTTTTCTTTTTTTTTAAACAAAAGCACGATGTTTTTTTTTCTTATTTCTTCAACAATTACAAAAGACAGTTCAAGTTGTATTTCTCAACAGAAGTACTCTAAATAGCTGAATAAAAACAAGTAGTGATGCATATAAATCTAACACACTAGAAACAAGTCCACTTTCAACATTAATATATTTTGTATTAGCTGAGTAATGCTAACTTTACACTAATTCATCTTATGCTCACTTTACAACCTCATCATTACTTTGCAATTATCTCATTTTGGTAGAGAGATAATAATTACTTATCTTACTGGAATTAATTTAGTCAACTTGCAGCAATGTTCACCAGTTTAACATCACATAACCGTTATCTTTTTAATATGTTGTAAAATGCATAGCAGTGGTATAATAACAGTGTAAAAAAAATACCGTATTTCTGAAATCCATAATTCCTTCTTGTGTTACAGTGCTAAGTTCAAACATAGATAAAGAATCGTTTTCTAATCTTTTCAGCTGTTCCATCTTCTCCAGCTTTAGTTCATCTCGCTTTACAATATCCACTTTATTTAGGCCAACTAATACTGGTTTGTTCACAAATAATGGACGAATACTTTCAAATAATGCTACCTGAAAAACCCAATCAAAATTAACAATCCCGAAAAGTATTGTATAAATATGATATCAGATCAGATTTCTTACTTGTTCTTCAATCGTATGATCACATGTTTCACTTATATCCATGACGAACAAAACTGCAGCACGCAAATGTGCAAGTGCGGTGATTGCCTGCATCTCAATTGTATTACGCTCTTCCAAAGGTTGATCCAAAATACCAGGTGTATCAATAACCTAAAATTACTCAATTATGATAGTCTACAGTACAATTTTCTTTCATGCTACAAACTTTCATCTTCAAAATTTCCAATTCTTCCAGAAATAGTTAGAAACAAATCTTCCGGAGAAACCATCTTAACATTAACACTTGCCTGCCAACGGAGATATTTATAATCAAGATGTCCAACATAAAGAGCTTTAGTGGTGAATGCATAAGGTTGTACTTCAACGTCAGCACGTGTCAGTAAATTCATCAACGACGATTTACCAACATTTGGGAAACCACATAGTATTAATGTTCTGAAATTCTCGTTGCAAGATTCACAACATAAACTTTTTCTATCTTGGCGCTGATAATATTTCTTTTCATCATTATGAATTATTGATAAGAAAAATATAACAGCAATGATTTCTGCATACCTCGTGTTTGGATCAATTGTTGGTAAACGCGAAAGGTGCTGCCGTACCTGCTCCAAATAATCAAAACTCGATTTCTGGCGCTTTAATAACTTTACCATTCGTCCAAGTGCTGCTCGTTTTAACATTTTACATCGATATAATGAATCGCCATATTTCATTAGGCGAACATATTCTCGTGCAATACTGAAATGTTCTTATCGTAATAAATTCACATACTTCAACGCGGTGGAAATAAAAATTGTAAGATTTACCCATCGATCAAATGACGAGCAGTGTTCATTTGTCCCAAAGCAATCTTGTAGTGGTCTTTATCGTATAAAATGTTCATAAGATCAGCATAAAATGGATGAACCTCCTGAAAGGCTATTCAAATGTTCAAAAATGTTTCACAGAAATCCAGAAACCAATATTTTTACACTCTGGTTTCAATCCACATCAACCAATCCAATAAAATAATCGGTTGATTTAGCACAGGGATTTATAGCTATCATAAGCGAGAAAAGATTAGAAACCAACAGATAGAAAAGAACTATTAAATTACCTCCATTTTTGGAAATTCATCGATGATTTGTGTCAATTTATCGTGTAAAACCTGCTGCAAGAATTTAATCTTTCGTGTATAAAATGACCGAATCCGGCTGATTGCAAAATGACGACGAACCACAGTCGGTGTTTTCCTCTGTGTCTTGGAAAGAACGATCTCCTTTAAATCCTAAAAAAACAAATCTGTTGTGGTTCTGAGTGCAATCAAAAATCATGCAAAACTATTTCCTTTTCTACATCATTATTAAAAATGTCCTAATATTCTAGCATTTAAAAAACTGACAATCTATTCTTAACAATAATTACTTACCGCAGCGGACGGAACCACCGTTATCTTTTTGAAATTGTAAATTGCCGGCATTTGCTCCTAAACTAGAATAAATATGGCAAAAAAAAAAGCACATATTTGTTGTATACCTATCATACGCCTGTTGTAATTACCATTAAACATTAAGCAGTCTATTTTATCACAGCCGAAAAAAAAAAGCGATACGAAAGGAAGGAGGGGGAAGAAGGAAAGATCGTCTTGACAACAACCGTCCTCGCCATTTTGATCCTCGAATCAAGTGAGTATCATTTGAAAGTGTGGTGAAGGAGTGGTGGTACGGACAGTGTGTCCCTGAGTAAGTCAATCTCAATCCTCATCCGTAATCATTTCTCCATTTACTACAGAATAAAATAGGAGGAAATTATGTCCTTCCTTGAAAATACCACTGAAATAAAAATTTCTCATAACAACTACGCTGTGACAACTAACTTCTCCAAGATTCCCCGAACCCCAATACTTCCCTTCTCCCTCCAACACCAAACCAAACTCATCAAAGTAATGCACTGCCTTACCTGTGGCGATATTAAAACGACATCTCATTCACAAAAGTTGACGGTAATGGGAGATGGTACTGTAATGGTTATCGTAACATTGGGTAGAGGATTGGTTATGGATTTTAAACTAATTATATGGAAAAAATTTGAGAAGCTATCTGCAGAAACAGATTTTGCTCCGTCACCTTTAGGCTGGACAAGAAAATTTCCTTAAAAGCGGATTTATCAAAATGGACAAAGTGGAAGTAGCTGGTACATTT